AGCCTCCTCGTGTGCAGGTGCACACGCTCGATGCGAAGGGAACGTCCTTCGTAACGTTTGAAATATCGCGTACGACACTTTATAAACGCTCGGAGGTAAATCTATGGATAAAAGGAGAAATCTTTCCGTTTCCCGTATATCCGTATCTTTCGTCGCGAAATACAGTGGCGAAAATTCCAATTAGACGATGCGTTCCTTCGACTCGTCTAATACTCGCGTATATACGAATGAGATACGAATAAACGCGATGGCCGATTCGTCTCGGTGGAATCAAATATCCGTCGAAGCAAGGAAAAAGAGTATCGCGGGACGCGAGGTGAACAACGATAGTGAATAGTAAAAGTATCCGTGTGTGTGTGTGTATGTGTAGCAGTGTTTCGTTGAATGTAACGGAGGTCTGGCCAAACAAACAAACGATAAATATTAATTGAAATGGACGAGATAAAACAAATGAATTCTTATGCCACCGGGACGAACGTCGGTCACGAGCCGACTCTCGCTTTGAGAAGTGAGAAAAAAAAAAGAAGGAGAGTTAGAAAAAGCACGGAAAGAGGGAGAGAGACGAAGATACGAGGTTCGATGGAAAAGGAGGAACGTTATTTGCGAGAACGGGTCGAACAGAGAGAGAAATTTGCACGGTTGGGTAGACTTTCTCTCTCCTTCATCCCTCTCTCTCTTTCTTCCTTTCTCGACCGGATGATTTATATGGAATCATATCTCCGTCCGAATGTCTTCATTTTTAACGGCCAAGTTTCTCTCTTCCCTCCCACCAAATGGATCGACCGATGAAACGGAGGGAGAAAAAAGAAGTTCTCGTTGAAGCCTAGCGAATTTACTCGACGACGCCCGCTCTGCCGAAGCTTTAATTTCTCTCTCTTTCTCTCTTCGCCTCTCCTCTTCTTTCTCGTCGCACGCTCCGAGAGATCGGCGTTACGCTCGATGATACGGGCATTTCGCACGGAACGTGGATCGATCGTGCATAATCGGAATCCGTTATTTTCGGCGCTCGTGTACCAGCATCGAACCGCGATATACTTTTTCCCTCTCCCTCGATTTTTCTTTCTCGATATCCCCGTTTTCCTTCGATATCCTTCCGGTGAGGAAAGATATTCTCGTCGATGACTCACCGAAATCACTCCTGTTCCACGGCCCGTTCTCGACGAGACTCGAACCCTATCGAAGCGTACGAAACGTCGTGTCTTGAGGGCACTCGTAACGGGGCCCCGGGACGACTTCTTCTTTCCAACGATGACCAGCGATTCTCGACAACCGCTGGGTGCCGACGATCCCCTTCGATCCCATTTCCGACACACCCTCGCGCCGTTACGAGATCCTATCCGATCCTATCCTCCCTCCCCTTCTCCCCGTCGTGGATCATCGATGATGCACGCGCTCCGACGATGCCCCCGGTGATCTTCTTCTTCCTCCTCCCAACCGTGCTCTATCGTGACACGAGTATCGTACGGAAAACGGTCGAGAGAGTCGCGTCGTGTGATTTAGAAAAAGGGAGAGGAACGAGGTTGGAACGAAGTTGGGTATAAAAGCATCTCGATAAAACGGAGGGGGGTGTGGCGATGGTATTTCGATGGTGATCTTTATTCGGAGGCTATTGGAGCGCGATGTCTGTTCCGCACGCTTCTCGCGTAGCACCTCGCGTTGCGTAACGGATAGATCCGTGTGTTGTTCTCTCGGTCAGCAATCTGAACCGCGATTAGAACCTGGTCGGAGGGGTACGTATCGTTCTACTCTCGTAACCGTCGTTTTCGAAGATGAATCGAAGATGATAAGGGGGATGGAGGGGCGGACGCGTGCAACGTAACCGCGATGCGTAACGAGCCGAAATGATCGGGGTACGTAAACGTTACGGGGAATTTCGTTCCAATACGAGACCAGGAAACGAAATTGTAATCGAGCCGAAGATAGATGGATAGATTACTTTCTTCCCTTTTTTTTTTTCCTTCTCTCGCGTTCTTTCACCGCTTTGGATACTTTTTATCCAATTTTTATTACCTCGTAATAAACGAGGGTCATCGGTATCGAAGAATTTTCGAAACGGTACACGCGGCAGCATCGCGGTGATGACTTCCTACTTGTTTCGTTCCCCGCGCGCAAGCGCGAAATTTCATCTCGTAAGAATCCTCTTTCTCTCCTTCCCTCCCTCTCTCTCTCTTTCTCTCTCTCTCTCTCCATTCGAGAAAATTTTCATTTCACGGCAGTCCGTTCTCTCTTTTATTCGCCTTTCGTCTCCGTGATATCGCGCGGAAGGCAATAACGCGTGTTGAAACAGCGACGGTAAGATGGTGGACACTCGGGTCCATTGACTGGATGCGCTGCAGTTTTGCTTTACGATGCGGCTGACTGACATTTAATGCCGAATGGCGCCCTTTACCACCTTTACCGCCCGTGAAAGCTTCGTCCTCTGGCTGCCGCCGGCTAATTCCTCGCGGATTTCGTCCTCGGTCATCCACCGTGCAATTTCGATCTTTTCGTCGCCGTTCACGCAGATGAGTCGAGTGGCTTATTTAACCCTTTCGACCTCGCACCGCGTACACACGTCCCGCTGAATATTACGTATTATATGTGCGTTATTTTGTAATCTTTTTATAGCCTCTTTAATTATATTACTGTGAACTGTGAGGGGAACGCATTGATAGGTTTTCGTAATATATTCCTGTATAATATGAAAATTAAAATTACCACGTTTGTCTCGAATATTCCTGTCTTCCGTTGTAATCGGGACTGCGTTCGTTAAAAGGATAACGGGCTAGAGATCGTTTCATTAAATAATTTCAACGTAACTGCGATACCAAGGTCAAACGCGTAATAATCGTTTTTTTTTTTTTTATATACTCGAAAAACTATCGAGCGAGAAAATTTCTCTCCGAGCTTTCGTGTCGTGAAATCGATTATCCTCCGTGAACGGTCGATAGAAATTCCTTCCCCTTCCCCTCCTCGATCGTTTCATTTTTTTCCAATCTTTCGATCTATTTCCATTCCCCCGTCCGAGAAACCTCCGATTCGAGAAGGGAAGAGATATTTTTCGAAACGGAATTTCCAGAATTTCGCGTGGAGAAAACAAACGAAGGCGAGTTTTATTCTCGGCCGAAAGAGACTCCCCCTCCTTTCGAGGCCCCTTTCGAGGTACGCGCGATTGAAATTTATTTAGGGAGGGGGAGGAGGCCGTAAACTACGGGGGAATCGAAGAAATTAGCGTACTGGGCGTGGAATGCACGCGGGGAGCGAACGGGATGAGAAACAATACGGGAACTTAAATACGAGCGTTTTTTTCTCGGCCACCATTTGTCGGAAGAAATATAGCCCGCGTTAAGCGGGACGTTTATAGCGCCGTGAACAGAGCCACATCGGTGAGATTTGCAAACATCTTGCGCGCGAAAGGGCGTGACCAGGGAGGGGGAGCCATATTGCGATATCGCGGAGTTTCGACCGCGTTTTATGTCCCCCTTGCACCTGATCGCTCGTCGCCCGATCCACCGTTTTTTCTTGCCACCGTTTATCGCTTCCCATTAAACTTTATTTATCCCGCGATTATCCCCGCGCCACTTCTCGCGCTCGTTGGATTATTTCAAAAATCTTCCCTGTACCGTTACTTCGCTTATTTTCCATTATTATTATTTTTTAATATCGCTCGAAGTGGGATCTTTATGCGCGTGTATATATATATATACAGGCGCGTGTGATGGAGGAGACGAGTCGTTATTTTAAGTGGAAATTTTAAAACAACGATGAGATGATTGGCACTTAAAGGATCGAAAAAAAGAGGATCGATAATGCTTTTCGTTATTTACGTCGGTAGAGAGGTATTCGTGACGTAAGAGGGAACGTGAAAAAAAGGGGGAAAAAAGAGAAAAAAGGAAAGGAGAGAAAAAAGGAAAGGATTAAAAATAGGAAAAATATATTGCGCATTTACACGGATTGGATTTAGCATTCTTGGATCTCATCTCAAGCTGGATATATCTAATTTGTACCTGACTAATTCGATTTCACACCGATCGACGACAATCGGTTAGCATCTATTTTGAGCCACGAGTCGGCTACATACCGACGCGTATAAACTTGCGCGAAGTACCAGTAAATATATTGCAGGTTCCCTTCAACTTCATCGATGAATACATTGACCCCTATGAAAGGATCGATCGAGTCCCTGTTCCATGCCGCTCGCCTCTTGCTTCGATTTCGTTCCTTTTTCCTTTCTTTCTTTCTTTTTTTTTTTTTCTAAACAGCCATTCGTAACTTTATTCTCGAACGACCGTCGCAAATCTCGTTTAATCGCGTTCAAAAACGTAAAAAAAAAAAAAAAAACATTTTACGTTTTCAAAGGTATCGTTTCGTTTCATTAACTTTTTCCATTCTCCCTCTCTCTCCCTCTCTCGTTTTCCGTCAATCGAAGGTTCGAAAATTTAGAACGACGATTGTTCGACTCTAACGTGTGTTCAAATGCTTGCAAAAGGGAATTTATTTTCTACGTATTCCACAACGTATATTAAAACCAATCCATAACGCGATACGGTATTGGAAGCAAAGGTTACAAACTCGTCGTTAACGACTAAATGAAGCAAAGTGTTAAATGTTTACCGAAAACCAATTAAAATTTACGCATGACGATTCATAAGAGAATTCCAACGGGTTAGAGTAATCGAAGTCGATTTTAATTATGACGACGTGTATGGCTTCTTGTAGCCGTATTCCCATGATAGCGACCCGTGAGTTATCGGACGTTTATGGCGGTGTCCGTTATTCGATTTTACGCTAGGGACCAATGGTAATAACAATTACGGTGCCAAAGGTGGCTTGCGCGCCGTCGTACCCGGCCATCCATAATCGCGATTCTATTCCCATCGCTTCCCGTCTACAGAAATCGATGTAAACACCCGATGGAACGAACGCGCTAATAATCGTTATTTCGCGTCGCGCGCGATTAATTACCT